CACCAGGAATTTAAAATCCATACACATCAGAGAGCATTAAGAAATGAAATTTACATTTTCTTAATTTAGATGGGTTGTAACACAAAAGAATGTGCTTCTATGGAAAATTAAAGATTACTTCAGGAAATCAAAAATAAGATTTTTTTTCTTTATTTTGGAATTATTAAAAGACCACATTTCCTGGGATTAATATACGTGTGTTATGGCAAGTATGGTCATAACTGTGAATCCATTCATTTTCAGAATATAAATTGGAAGGAATTTAAGTACCACAATTCGGACAGACCAATATAATTCCTCATATATGCCAGCAGCCATATCACTCTGCAACTCACAACTAGCAACCCACTGAAGCTCAGCAGGTGTGAGCCTGGTCAGTACCTGGATGGGAGACCTCCTGGGAAAAACTAAGGTTGATGCTGGAAGAGGTGTTAGTGGGGCCAGCAGGGGGCGCTCACCCTGCAGTCTGTGTGGGTCCTAATGCCTCTGTGGTCATTAAAAATCCCATGGTGTTTCTCAAAAAGAGTAGGGGTGTAACCCTGGCGTTGTGGCCGAATTTCTGATTGGCCCTTACCAATCATGGCCTCCTACCAATCCCCATCTATGAATTGGCTTCATTTCTCTGCTCTCCTCCCCACTGAGAGCTGGTGTGTGGTGAGCGCTCTGGCGCACTATGGCTGCTGTCACATCATCCAGGTGGGGCTGCACACTGGTGGGGGTGGAGGGGAGTCTCCATTACCTGTAAAGCGCTTTGAGTGGAGTGTCCAGAAAAGCGCTATATAAGTGTAACGGGACACAATTATTATTATTATATAAAAACACTGTAGTTGTAGTTAACATACTGTCATGTGCTTCATATGACCTCTAGTGGCCATTCATTGCTACTGTAGGTTTAAAGATAGAAAATGACATTATTGTAGAAGCTATGGGATTATGAATATATCCAATGTTAATTTCCATTTTTGATTCCACTAAGACGAAATCAGAATGTAAATGCTTCTGGTTAACAATGGTTAAATGAAAAACAAAATGCCACAAAAGTCTTCACATTGTTAATTGTTAAATGATAGGAGTTTAACAATTTAACAAGTTAAAAAGCTATAAACCAAGATTAAGCAGTATACAGTACACAATATATCTTGGAAATGCTACGCATAAACGTCATTGTGAGATGGAAAACAGTTAAATGTCTATGAAATTATTACTGATGAAGAGATGCTGAGTACTTGTTCTGTAAAGATCTGAGTGCCTTTGATCAGTGAGTCTTCAATGGTGTCTTTGAAAGAGGTGCAGAGTTCAGTGCCATGGAAATAAAAACGCATTTCAAATCTCAGAGCAAATGGATGGAGCAAAACACTCTGCAACATAGAAGAAAACCTGTCTTAGATCACAGGTTAAAGCACAAGCTCAAAACTACATTTCTCACTCCTCCCCACTGACAGCCCATGTGTTGTGAGTGAACCAGCACACTCTGACTGATGGTGGAGGGGGTTCCCATTATCTATAAAGCAGTTTGAGTGGAGTGTCCAGAAAAGAGCTATATAAGTGTAAGCAATTGTTGTTATTATAATTATTGTTGTTGTTACATCAATAGTGTGGCTTAAAAATAAGAAGGTGAATGTCCTTTGTGAGTGCATCATTTTGTAATTTCACAAAATTGGACACCTCCACTGGTGGAGTTTGAATACTTTTACAAGACCCTGTATATTTTAAGAACATAAGAGTGGCTCTCCTAAGCCATGTGACTAGGATGGGAAAAGACACCCATTTACATGTAGTTCCTAGTGCATTGATTTTTCACTCACCGGTACCCTGATTCCAGTCTTTGTCAAGTTTCTGACTCCTACTCCACAGACTGAAGGAAACCTTTTTTTTGTGACTTGCTTAATGATGTGCAAAACACGTGTGTGATTGCTGAGGACGACCCTAGAAAAATTTAAAAGTGTAAAAGAAAACACAAAACACACCACTTTCAGGACACAGGTTTCCAGGCAGAAATTGAAGAAATGTGACAAAAGGTTGGAGACACCAAAATTCTAAAACCACGAACTGTGACAAACGTCTTCACTCTTGCCAGAAGGAAACCAGGAAATAATGGCATATTGGAAACATTCAGTGTCTAAAAAGCACAGAATCTCATTGTACAGCAAGACCATGGCTAGATGTGAATAGAAGCAAAAGGTAAGATCTAAGAAAAACTGGAGAAAACCACTTTCCATTATAAATGTTAGAATTAGTAATTTCTGGACACTCCACTCAAAGCACTTTTCAGGTAATGGGGACTCCCCTCCACCAGTCTGCAACCCCACCTGGATGATGTGACAACAGTTATAGTGCACCAGTACACTCACATACATCAGTTCTCAGTGGGGAGGAGAACAGAGTGATGAGGCCAGTTCAGAGATGGGGATTATTAGG